AAACGGTTAAGAATTGAGAAAGATATAACCAAATCCATATTTTACCTGAGTCTCTACGAGATGTAATTCGGTTTCAGTCATAGCTATGTCAAATCTTCATTAAATCTCTTCAAAATTGGTAGAATGACGGGTATTTACATGCTTTACTATTTCATATAACCTGTTTATTTTTCAGAGTAATAATAGTCAAGATACAAATGGTTTATATTGGTATAATAAATTATACGCAAAAAAACCGGTCTGGATCGGTCTGAACCGGCTCCATAGACCGAAATAGACCGGTCCTAGGTGGTTCGGTTCGGTTCCCTCAATATCTGGGTCGGTCCTAGACCGGTTGCGGTCCACGGTTGCGCGTTTTGGGGGCAAAAAACCAGACTGAACTGAACTTGCGAACACTAGCTACAGCACCCTCTGATGGGGGTTGTCTCAGACTCAACGTGCCAACATCAGGAGGGTTGTGATGTATTGATGCACAGGTCAAACATAAGTTGATGTTCAATGTCTGTGAGATTGCACTGTCAGTTATTGTATATAGTGATTGAGAGATGTAAAGGGGCTTACAATAGGGCTGGAGGAAGGGTGAATAATAAAATTTATGTGATTGGTCCTAGCTTGAGACTGTGGCAAGTGACAATTGAATGTGTTGGATATGGGCCATGGCACAGAGTTCATATCTTCATGGAGGCCTTTTTGAAGCATCCAAGCAATGTCAAGGCCACAACTTGGTGGACAGGTGAAGAGAGCAAAAGGCCAGCACAAGTAAGTCATCAGGCCACCAGTTGGCTTGAGGTGTGGTGGCAGCATAGTTGACATAGTGGAGGCAGGCGTTGCTTTGATCTCATGCATTGACATTGATCTGCCATTCTGGGTTGCAACCTCAATTAAATATATTTTCTATCAATTATAGACCTGATCACCTAACAATGATACACTCCACCTTTGTTTGAAGTAACACACCTATACTCTGACTGTTTTGTGGTGTATCACCACTACCTTCATGTCAGCTTCCTTACTAATCACACCCACATGGGATAAATCTACCCATGGTCCTGGTTCAGTATGCCCTTAGATGGGCCTCTACACAAGGGGAAAACCACATTTGTTGCCTGGTGAAGAGGTAATAAAAAGGAGATAACTATGTTAAATATTCAATCTCACATTAGTGTCAAAAATGTTCAAATAAAAAGATTCATTGTTATCTCAACTTTGCAGCCACAAAAAGGTGGTGATGTGTATGTCAAATATTTATTGGTAGTTTGTTTTGAGTTTGTTAGTGCAGGAATGACTGAGAAACAAAAGAAATCCTGCCAGGAAAGGAAGATAAAGAAAAACCCTGTTTTACCTTTGCAACAATGATGAGGCAACTATTTAATGTCATTGAAAGATCTTTCTGGCCTGAGGGAACAGAAACAAAGAATTAAAATTATCACTCAGGGTTCCTTTGTTTAAGAGGGTTAAATTTAATTTCCTTGATTGCTTTTCAAAGTGCCAAGAAAGACCTTTCAATGACATTAAATAGTTGCTTCACCATTGTTGCCCAGGTAAAACAGGGTCTTTCTTTATCTTCCTTTTCTGGCAAGAATTTCTTTTGTTTCTCAGTCATTCCTGCTCTAACAAATATTTTACATACATGATATGACCTTTTTGTGGCTGCAAAATTGAATGAACAATGAATCTGTTCTTTTTATACATTTTTAACACCAATGTGGAGTTGATTATTTAACATATTTAACTCCTTCATCAGCAAGTTAGCATTTTACTTTTTCCCTTTTCATCGCTTTTCAGCTTTTTCTGGGTTTTGCAAAAAATTAAAGGCTAAAAAGTGAAAAAGCTAACTACCAGTCAACAACCTTAGACTACAGGTGTTCTAGTAAGTATGAAATGAATTGAGGACACTGCTGTGCATGATGTAGTCTGCCAACATCCATCCTAACACTGTATTTAGGTTGGCCTGGTCAGCATTAGTCATGGTGTCGAAGATGGAGAGAAAGGTGGTGATGTGTGACAAAGTGGTGGGCATTGTTGATTTTCAGACTCCGACATGATGCCAACATTGAATATTCGATCAATCATCATGCCACCAGCTTGAACCTCCACGTCAACCACACTTGGGTGACCTTCTTAGATGTCCATTGGCATGACCTGCCCAAGTCCTGCCTCCAATCAAGTTGAAATGCTTTAACCCTCTTGTGGTGATGATGTCATTTGAGTGCATTGGCTGGTTCTTGGTGTTGAGTTCTGGATCCAGGCTGAAGGTACCACTTCCTCCCCTTTTCCTGTGTGTTTATGCTTCTGAGGCTTCTGTTTTTCAGCAGGAGATTTGCTAGTTGACCTGCAAGATTTGTGTGGTGAGAATTGTAGAGATAGTATTGTTAGTGTTACTTGTAGATACACATTTTGCTGTTTCATAGCTTTTCCACTTTTTCTAGTCTTTGAGTAACACAAAAAGTAGCCAGCTTTTTTGGATTAGCCACATAGCTTTTTTGACCTGTCACTTTTGTCCCTTTTTGCCACTTTTTTCCCTTGTGCAAGCGGAAAAAAGCTATTTGTTAAACTACTGATGTTTTTATTACCTCTTTGCCAGGCGATGAATGTGGTTTGCCCTTGTGCTACTAGCTTGCTGTTCTACAGAGCCACCCAGGGGGATAGTTGGCCTTATCAGAAATTTGCCAGATGATTTGGGGGTAGAGGTTATGTTCAAAAATAGTTCAGCCAGGTCACACAGACTACAGTTGGATAAAGGATTTTGTAAATAATAACACCAACCCATGATGCACATAACAGTTGTAGGTATACATCTTAGCCTGGGGTGCCTACATACTCATCATCACAAAAAGTGACCAAGCACCATGTGATTTTTAGTCATGTCATGTTTGTTTTCTGTTGAATAGATGTGTTTGTAACTCACTGTCACCCCACTGCTTTTACAACTTATGGTACTTCCAAAGGCCTCACAAGTCCCGCATAATGAGGCAAAGAAAAATCAGTTCATTGGAGCCGTCCTTGCCAGTGCAAACATCCAGAAAGCTGGCAGGGAGTTTGGCATCAAGCCAGAAACAGCACAAGGCATCTGGGACAAATTCTGTAAAAATGGATCTACAGAAAACCTTCCTCAGTCAGGGCATCCAAAGAAGACAACAGACCATGAGGACCATCTCATTGTGAGAGAGGCCCTCAAGAAGTGCCACCAGCCATTTTGCAAGATCGCAAATGCAATCAATGCTGATGTCAGCACCAGCACAGTTCGAAACATCCTCACTCATGAAGGGTACCACTGATGTGTTGCAAAGAAGGTCCCATACCTCAGCATGACTCATAAAGAGGCAAGGATGGCATCAGCTCAGAAGTGCAGGGTGTACACAGTGCAGAATTGGATGAAGAAGATCTGGTCAGATGAGTGCTATGTTTACCTTGGCAACAACTGTGGATGAATTTACATTACACGACATCCTGGCAAAGAATTTCGCAATGATTGCTGTGTAGCAAAGTTCTCACAATCCTCCATTCACGTTATGGTCTGGGGATGCATCATGAAGGGTATGAAAGGGCCGTTGGTTGTGCTTGAATATCTAGGAGGATGAGGTGGAGGGATGAACTTGACATGCTACCAAGAGCAGGTCCTTGATGGAGTTTTGAAGGAGTTTTATCATCAAGTATCTGAGAAGGAGCATGGGGTTGAGTTTCAGCAGGATGGAGCAGCAAGTCATCACAGCAAATCAACAATGAAGTGGTTCTGTCAAAATGGAATCACACTTTTCTCACACCCCACTCGCTCACCCAATCTCAGCCCCATTGAACCAGTTTGGCTTTTTTGAGCTCAAAAAGTGTCTATGTGCTCTTCCTCACCTTCCTACGACTGTCCCACAGCTTATCGAGACTGTGAAAAGTATTTGGGAGGAACTACCAATCTCAGACATTGACAAGCCAGGGCAGTTAGTAGGAATCACCCACCAACACTGAGAGCCCCGAACATACAAACAGGCCATACTTGATGGTGCCTGCTGATGGGCCGATAAGAGACAATAACCTGGTGTTGATGAATTGGCCAATGCAGTCCCATGAATAAGGTAATGAAGGGTTGGCTGGCAATGTAGATTTAGCACAGCCGGATCAGCAGGAATTACACCTGGAGAGCGAAGGACAACTATTTGTATATCGGCTGATGGAAGATAGCTATGCAGGATCAGTTGACAGATTTGAATGTTCCTGGGTTGGTGATCGGCTGAGGGTCTTAAATTCTGATTAGCAGAGTCAGCTGGTGGGACCCAGATTATTGTAGTCATGGCTCGGCTGATCAGTCCAGCAAATGGATACCGCTACTGAGTTGGCCACAAAAACTGACAATTTATAAACATGGGATCAGCCGATGTTTGAGCCAGTCCGGCCTTTTCAATATGGACTAGTATATGTTTTCTGCTCGGCTTGCATTTTATGCAGCTGAGCAGGGTTATTTCCATGCCTGGTGGAAATGTCCAACATGTGATATGTTTACAGGAAAAGTGACTTGCCCGGATGATTTAATATTAAATTGTTGAAGAACTTTAGCTCGTGCCGTGTCCAGATGCAAAATAACCAAGCAGACAAGTGAATTAAATCAGTAAAGACGGCCAGGCTGCACATTGGGTGGTGCAGGTGATTAAAGTAATTTGTTGAAGTCATCCAGCTGTTGCTGTGTTCGAGTAAATGATCGCTGAGCAAACAGGTGAATTAAATGCCTGAACTGCAAATTGATTAACAGAGCCAATTTCATTTTAAATTGTTGAAGTACTTTGGCTGCTGCCGAGGCCGGGCGGCAAATAACTAAGCAGAGAAGTGAATCAAATTGGTAAAAGTGCCTGGGCTGCATGTCAGATAATAGAACCGATTTAATGTTAAATTGTTGGAGTACTTTAGCTAGTGCGGAGGCTGGGTGAAAGACAACCGAGCAGACAAGTGATTTAAATCAGTAACAATGCCCGGGCTGCATCTCACATAATAGAACCTGTTTAATATTAAATTGTTAAAGTACTTTGGCTGGGTGGAAAACAACCAAGCAGACAAGTGAATTAAATTGGCAAAAGTGCCCAGGCTGCGTCTCAGGTAATAGAGCCGATTCAATATTGAATTGGTGAAGCACTTTGGCTGGTGCCGAGGCCAGGTGGAAAATAACCGAGCAGACAAGTGAATTAAATCGGCAAAAGTGCCTGGGCTGCGTCTCGGATAATAGAGCCGATTTACTATTAAATTGTTGAAGTACTTTGGCTGGTGCCGAGGCCAGGTGAAAAATGACCGAGCAGACAAGTGAATTAAATTGGCAAAAGTGCCCAGGCTGCATCTTGGATAATAGAGCCAATTTAATATTAAATTGGTGAAGTGCTTTGGCTGGTGCCGAGGCCGAGTGGAAAATAACCGAGCAGACAAGTGAATTAAATCAGTAAAAGTGCCTGGGCTGCGTCTCGGATAATAGAGCCGATTTAATATTAAATTGGTGAAGTACTTTGGCTGGTGCCAAGGCTGGGTGAACAATAACCAAGCAGACAAGTGAATTAAATCGGTAACAATGCCCGGGCTGCATCTCGGATAACAGAACCTGTTTAGTATTAAATTGTTGAAGTGCTTTGGCTGGATGGAAAACAACTGAGCAGACAAGTGAATTAAATTGATAAAAGGGCCCAGGCTGCACATCAGATAATAGAGCCAATTTAATATTGAATTGTTGAGGTACCTTGGCTGGTGCCAAGGTGGGGTGGAAAATAACCGAGCAGACAAGTGAATTAAATTGGTCAACGTGCCTGGGCTGCACATCAGGTGACGGATATTAAATTGTCATACTTTGGCTGGTCCAAGGCCGGGTAAAAAATAACATAGCAGAGAAGTGAATTGAATCGGGCATGAGTTTCATCTCAGATAATAGAGTCAATCTAACATTAAATTGTTGAAGTACCTTAGCTGGTGCCATGTCTGGGTGCGAAGTCACCAGTCAAAATGCCCAGGCTGCTGCTTGTGATTAGATATCAAATTGCTATGCCATGTCTGGATGCAAAATAACCAAGAAAATCAGTGACTTGAATCAGTAAAAATAACTGAGCTGCATCTCGGGTGATACAGCCAATTTAATATTGATTTGTTGCAGTCCTTTACCTGGTGCCATGGCTGGGTGCAAAATGACTAAGCAGGCAAGTGAATTAAATTGGTAGAAATTCCTGGGTTGCACATTGGATAATAGAACCGATTTGATATTCAATTGGTGAAGTCCTTCACCTAAGCCATGTCCGGCTGCAAAGTTGCAAGTGAGTGGATTCTCCCGCCATCCCACCATCCCGCCATCCCGCCATCCCACCATCCCACCATCCCGCCATCCCGCCATCCCGCCATCCTACCATCCTGCCATCCTGCCATCCTGCCATCCCATCATCCTACCATCCTTCCATCCTTCCATCCCGCCATCCTGCCCTCCTGTCATCAGCATTATATCTTGACCATTACTGGGCCACTTCTCTCCAAACCCTGCTAATTATATCTTGATGTAGTCTATGACATACTCAAAACAAGAACCTATAGTAGTGTCGTTGACATGCATCTCCCTCAATGTTCCCCATGGTATGTATACCTTTACTGTAGCCTCCCAAAGCGGAAAGAATACAGTGTATATTATATATGCTTAATTTGTGGTAGCTCAGAATAGCCATTTGGGGTTCTGAGTATCTGTATTGCACAAAATGCCCAGAAGACATATAAATCCCATGGGAGTTCCAGAGGAATATGTTCAATTATTATTTGCAAGACATGAAGATATAAGGTTCTAATTGGAGCAACTTACCTGGTAAATGGTGCATGGAGAGGAGGGAGGAATACATTGTATCCATTAGTTACATCACCCCAGTTTCACCAATGAGAGTCAAAAGTGGGTTGGAGGTAGGGATGGGATAGCTAGAAAGAAGTTTAAAAGGAATTACAGAGATTGACAAGACAAGATAATGATTTCAGAAGATTATATATGGAGCAGGACAATGGTACATGGATAGTCACTAACATCCCAGCCATATCTCTGTATCCACCAAAACAGATATTTAAAACATCCTGCCTTTCTTACCTGATCAATACTCTTTGAACAACCTACCAGCTACCCCAGCCTTAAGTGAACCTCACACCATATATAATAAACACCACCAAGATATGATTAGGAACTTTTTTGGAGAGAAATAGTCCAGTAACAGTGGAAATACTATACTCATGACTGGTGGGCGGAATGGGGGTGGGATTACACCTATTGGAGAAACTAGTGCCTGATTTAGTAATTGTTGGTCAACAATGATGGCGTTGAGAGGGGGCACCAGGCAGATGGTGTGAAAGTTATAACTAACTTGTCTATTCGGCATTGGTGTATGAATGGCTCCGAGCTCGGGGAACAACCCTCATGAGTTGTGTTATCTTGTCTGCTTGGTAATATCACACCCAGACTGAAATGATACAGATGCAACCCAGGCATGTTCAGTGATATACTTCACTTGTAGGCTCAGCAGTGGTCCACTTGAACCATCTGTAGACAGCATAACAATTTGATATTTAATCATCAGCAGCAGCCCAGGTGTTTTTACCAATTTAATTCACTTGTCTGCTTGGTCATATTCCACCTGGCCTTGGCACCAGCCAAAGTACTTCAATGATTTAATAGTACATCGGCTCTATTATCCAGGATGCAGGCTGGTCACTTTTACCGATTTAATTCACTTGTCTGCTCGGTTATTTTCCACTTGGCCTCAGCACCAGTTAAAGTACTTCACCAATTTAATATTAAATCGGCTCTATTACCCGAGACGCAGCCCGGGCACTTTTATCAACTTAATTCACTTGTCTGCTCAGTTGTTTTCCACCCAGCCAAAGAACTTCAACAATTTAATATTAGACAGGTTCTATTATGCAAGACACAGCCCGGGCAATGTTACCAATTTAATTCATTTGTCTGCTCGGTTATATTTCACCTGGCCTCGGCACCAGTTAAAGTACTTCAACAATTTAATATTAAATCGGCTCTATTATCCGAGATGCAGCCCAGGCATTGTTACCAATTTGATTCACTTGTCTGCTCGGTTATTTTCCACCCGGCCTCGGCACCAGCCAAAGCACTTCACCAATTTAATATTAAATTGGCTCTATTATCCAAGATGCAGCCCGGGCACTTTTACCGATTTGATTCACTTGTCTGCTCGGTTATTTTCCACTCGGCCTCGGCACCAGTTAAAGTACTTCACCCATTTAATATTAAATCGGCTCTATTACCTGAGACGTAGCCTGGGCACTTTTACCGATTTAATTCACTTGTCTGCTCGGTCATTTTTCACCTGGCCTCGGCAGCAGCCAAAGTACTTCACCAATTTAATATTAAATCAGCTCTATTATCCAAGATGCAGCCCAGGCACTTTTACTGATTTGATTCACTTGTCTGCTCGGT